AATAGAATGAATATATTCAAACACACACACACACAAACATATATATATATATATATATATATATATATATATATATATATATATTTCCATCGGTATATAAAACTATAGCTGGGAGTCTAGTAGACTCACCAGTGGATACTCAGCTGAAGACAGTGACTCATTCTCCTGAGCACCCATCAATAACCAATAGTTCCCCAGGGCAGGGTAGGGCCCCATGAGCCTGACTGCTGGCAAATCTCGTCTTGTGCAATCCCAGTGCCTACAACCACAGCTGGTGTGAGCTTGTTATTGCAATGGCTGTGTCATCCTCAGAAGACAGCCTGTAAAACCTTTCTCCTGTCACTTGGCTCTTACATTCTTTCTTCTCCCTCTTCCACGGTGGTCCCCAAGCCTTCTGGGAGTGGTATGAATGTTCTGCATAGGGCTGAACACTCAAAAGTCACTTGTTCTCAGCATCTTGAACAGCCACGAGTATCTGGATTCACTGCAAGGGAAGCTTCTCTGATCAAGAATGAGAGGTGCATTTGTCTGTAGGTATAAACAAACATTTAGTTTGAAGGCAAGCTAGCAAAACAACAGAAAATTAATCCAGATGCACACGGAAAGGTTATAAAGGGGGTTTCTGTACAGAATAGGAGTAAGCAGGTAACATTTTCAATCTTCATTTCCTTAGAAACCTGATGCTTCTATAGTGATATTAGTCTCTGTGTTTACTATGTGCAGTTTAAGGCCCAAGGATGTCGCCCAGTTGCTTGAATGCCTGTTTAGCAAACACAAAGCCCTGGGTTCAATCTCCAGCACCCTGTTAGCCTGTCAGTAGCCTACACCTGCAATCCTAGCACTTGGGAAGTAAAGGCAGAAAAATCAAAAGTTCAAAGCCATTCTTAACTATATAAGTTGAGATCAGTGTCTGGAATACAGGAGACCCTGTCTCATTTTAAGAACTAGATCTTTCTCAATACTTCTAGCAGGATGGCAGATTAGAAACCACAACACAGAAACTCAGTAACAGAGGAAAAAGATAGTCAATACAGTACACAAGAAGTTTTTGTTCTACAGAGGCAAAGGAAATGGGAGGGCTGAGAATAGGAACCCAGCTGCAACCCCACTCAAATACAAACCACATACCCAAATTAAGCTGCAATCTACTAGACCAGAGAGCTTCAATCCATACTTGTGGTATGCAGAAAAATGCCCTCCTCAAGACACATGCACACTATTTTCTCAAGCCTATAAACATGCTAAGATAGGAAAACGACAGTGTCTACACTCCAGGGGAAAAATGTTTGCAAACCACATTTCTGATGAAAGACTTTTTTTTTCAAAATATACAAATCCCCAGTTTCAGTGAGAGATAAGCACACTGCTATGGTTTTGCAATGAGTTGTATCCCTGGGGGTCGGGGGGTATCGACAGGTAAAGATTTGGTCCTCAAGATATGGGCAAGTGTTATGGGGCCCTGTAGGATGTTCTTAGGTCAGTGGAGACGTGCCTTCAAAGTAGACTGTAGGACCTAACCAATCCTCTTCATCTGCTTTCCAGGTTAGAATAGATTCCCTTAGAACATCAGTTCTCAACCTGTGGATCATGAACTCTTTAGAGGTTGGACAGCTCTTTCACAGGGGTTACCTAAGACCATCAGAAAACACAGATATTTACACTACAATTCATAACTGTAGCAAAATTACAATATGAAGTAGCTACAGAAATAGCTTCTTAGTTGAGGGGCTGTTATAAAGGGTTGTGGAATTAGGAAGGCTGAGAACCACTGCCTTAGAATCTGCCATCTATGCCAGGGTTGGGGGGTCTGAACCCATGGAGCTACCCAGTCTCGGACTCCAACTTCCAGAATCATGACTAAAATAAACAGCTCTTTACTTCATAAGAAGCCTGTGCCACATATTTCAGCACACTGATAGAGTACTGACTACTATACACACATACAAAACAATGGGACCTATTAATCTGTTTTCAAACCTAAACATTCATAAACATTTCTCCAACCTTCAGAGAGGAGGGGCTGGAGAGATAGTTCAGTGGCAGTAAGTGCTTACTGCTTGTCTTAGTCAGGGTGACCAGTGCTGTGACACCAGGACCAAAAAGCAAGTTGTGAGGAAAAGTGCCTTACACTTCCATGTTGTCCATCATTGAAGGAAGTGAGGACAGGAACTCACACAGGGCAGAAACCTGGAGGCAGGAGCTGATACAGAGTCATGGAGGGGTGCTGCTCACTGGCTTGCCCATCATGGTTGATCAGCCTGCGTCCTAATGCCACAAACCTTTAATATAGTTCCTCATGTTGTGGTGACCCTCCCAATCATAAAATTATTTCATTGTTACTTCATATCTGACACCTCTGTGGGAGTCTTGGCTGACAGGTTGAGAGCAATCTGACTAGTATATGTCACACTGACATAAAACTAACCAGGACAATGATCTTGAAAAGGATCCATGTTCAGTTCCTAGCACCCATGTCAGGTGACCAATAGCCATTTGTAAATCCAGATACAGGAAGACTCTGGCCATACATATACATACTGATATATATAATTTAAGATAATAACACTAAATCTTAAAACAAACACATCCAACAGATCATGAAGTGTGCCTGTAATCTTGACACTTAGAAAACATAGATGGAGACTGGAGGCTAGCCTGGGCTAAATGAGACTCTCCCTCAATATTGTAAAATAAAAAACGTACATCCATACTGTAGCTTCTACGTATTCAATAAGTGTGCTGTAACCCATATTATCACAGAGGTTAGGTATCAAGTAAGGGACTAGAGGAGAGTGCTGATCCCCCAAAGAAGAGAAAATAGAATAGTTATAGAGACACAGGGGAGAGATGGGAGTGAGGAGGATAGATTAAAGGGGTAAGAAATGGAACATGGGGGGGGATAATGCCCACTAAGAGCCATTTGTGGGGTTACACAGACATTACTACTGTAGGAGCTTCCTAAAATACATATCTGAAATCTAAATAGAGTCACCAAATAATGGGGGAGTCAGGGCCCCAAATAGCCATCTTTACCCCACCTAGTAAAATATCCAGTGCCCAGAATGGGTTACATCTAGTTGAGCCATTGGCCAAAGAGGTCCCATGGAAACTTCCAAACATCTCAGGCTATTTCCAAGGCTATTGTCTGTTCTCCACAAACTGATGGTTTGCTGAAGACAATATTTATAGATGTCACTAAACACAGAGAAATAGGGCTGGTGCCTTTACCCCTGCTGACTAATGTTCCTGGTACCAGAATGTACCCTGCACACTACCAGAGGAGAAAGGTAACCGCCATTCTAGCTGCAAACCCTGAAATCTACCGTGGTGACCTGAGTCCATGATATATGGTGGTATGATATTTGGCATAAATGTTATGGAAGTAACCAATCACACTCTGATTGGATTTGAGGCACAAGTTAGAACCCATGCCCAATACTGCTCTTGTCACTAGAACCTGAGATTAGCTAGACCATGGGCTTAGGGGAAACCCAGATACTATTGCTCTGCTAAATGAATGTAGCAATGCAATGATTTCTAATGACCTTCTGCTATACCCATAGCACAGTGCCTTGATCAACCATCATCGGAGAACTAACCTAGAAACACACAACTGGCCAAATACACAAGCAGTGAGAAACGTTGGAACCCTTGATTCTGAATAGGGTGTCTTAATTAAGCCCTTCCCCTCAGGGCTCAGGGAGCTATGCAGAAGAGGGAGCAGGAAGACTGTAAGAAATGAGATGGATGATACCAAGAAAACAACGTCTTCCAGACACAGTAGGGCTGAAGAACATAGAAAATCACAGAAACTGTGGCAACATGAACAGGGTCTGCACAGGTTCAGAGGAGATGGCTCCCAGCACTGAGCGGGGAAAGTAGACATGAGTTCTCACCCCAAACCAAGAGGCTCTCTGTAACTGATGATCTCTAGCAAAGAAAAAATCGGTTCCTCCAACGGAGTCACATTGGGTTTATTAACACCACTGAAAGGCAGGCCCCATGCCTATCAATAGATGGCCAACCGACACTAAAACCAACTCAATGGTATTTTTGTAGACTTTGTGTATCATATTGCTCTGTCTCATCTTATTGGTCTTTTGCTTGTATGTTATGGTTTCTGGTTTGGTGTTTTTGTAGGTTCTGTTTGTGTAGAGATTTCTTGTGAATTTGTGTGTGGGGGGGTATTTGTTCTCTCAGGCTTAGAGTTGAATGGATGGAGGTGGAAAAGATCTGGGAAGATTCAGGGGAAGGAAAGCCATGATCAGAATATGTTATATGATTTTTTTTTTCAACAAAAAATCATGAAAAAGGGGGCCTCCTTTTTTGTTCCATTAGCAAGACAGCAGCAGCAGCTTATGGAAGTCACTTTTCTCCTAATGCTGTTTTGTTCTTATACGCTGAAAGATGATTAGTCGTTTTGGGTAGTCAATAAGTGCATAAAATACATGAGATACTGAAAGTATCCCCAGTAATGAGCTGTGTAGTTGTAAATATAGGTGAACGGTCCGTGTCGCAGGGATTTGGAGAGTGACGGACGCTTTTGTGGAGGGAGGTGATGTAGCCCACATGAAAGCTGGAACGCAAAATCAGGAAGGGAAATACTCCTGTAACCACAAACCACTTCACCGAGTCTCTAATCCCGGCGTCTTTCCGGATACACCGATCACATCCACCTAATCTTTTTCTTCCGCCCGGAAGGACTTCATCCGCCTACACTAGGAAGACTTCGGTCCCAGCCACGGCGCACCTCACAGCAGCGCGCAGCCGCGGAGGCGTCGCTTTACGGCCGGAGGGGGCGGGGTGTAAACGTATGGCGCAGGATGAGTTTAGGAGAGGCCAGGCTTTTTTGCGACAGGACGTAAGTGACGACGGAGGTGGTGCGACAGCTGCTGGAGGGCCGAGGAGGCGGGTTTGTGTTTCCAGGGCCGAACCAGGATGTGGGGGGGCGCGGGTCCTGGGCTTGGGTAGCTGGAGGCCCTCAGCTACAGCCATGAGTGAAGGGGATCGGCGAGGGGGAGGCCTTGGGCATCTTTGGGCGGTGGGTGGCTCCGAAGGGCTGACGGGGCCGGAGAGCCGGCTCTAGGCCGGCAATCTGACCCGTGTCTTGCCCGAACTCGCAGAGCGGCGGGTCCTGTCCTCGCCATGAGGCCGCAGCAGGCGCCGGTGTCCGGGAAGGTGTTCATTCAGCGAGACTACAGCAGTGGCACCCGCTGTCAGTTCCAGACCAAGTTCCCCGCGGAGCTGGAGAACAGGGTACGCAGCCTGGCTCCCTGCCCCGGGGAGGGTAGAGTCCCGGGAGTGGGAGGGAGTGTCTCACGGTTCTGAAGAGCAGACCTCCAGATTCATAGCAAAAGGTACACGAAGAAGGTACGGTCTCGTATTTTGAGAAGGATTACTAAGGCAGTGCTCAGAGTACAGTGATCTTATAGAACTTTAGGATGCTCGCTGCCCCCGCAGTCCACTCAAGAGTGTCCTTAACAGGACCCCAACACACGCACACGCACGGTTATCGGTTATTGACACCTTGTTGATTGCACGCTTGGCGTGCGCTCGAGCGGGCATACACACTCAGCTATTGATATCTTGATGAGGTGTTAATTCCTGGAACTCCAGGCCGACTCATACCTCTTGTGGTAACCTATATCCTTACCGTCTAAGACACGCAAAAGACAGCGTCATTCTCATGACTAATTTCTGTGGTCTCTGTGCTGGTCATTACTGGTCAACTGAAAGGTTTATTAGTGATATGCTTGGTAGTTCAGACAGGCCTTCTTGGAACCTGAAAAACGTGCATTGTCCCGGACAGGAACGACTCAGGAACATGTAGCTGAACCAATCCTTCACTCCCAGTCATCACTGGGAGCTTCCTGTTTGCCTTCCCTATCAAAATGGTCATAGGGCATCGGTCCTTTGAACAACCTTGTAAACAAAGATGAGATTTGTTTGCCATTCCTTCAGATCTAACAGCACCAAAAATCTACCTGTATTCTTGTGTCTGCCCTCCATCATATTATTCAGATCCTATTTCCTGTTCATAAATCAGTTTCTAGAAACTGAGCCAGGAGGACGAGGAACTTTGAGGTAATTAAACGTGGTGTGGGTGTGGGGCTCAGAAATGCTGGTTGTGGACTAGGTGGGTGGAGATGAGTGTGTACTAGAGAAATGTGTACCAGCCATCTGAAATCAGATTGTTGGTTTGTAGGCTGGTTGTATAGCTTAGTGCACAGAGCCTGTTCTTTCCAGGTTGAAGACCCAGAGATCTATCCCCAGCACTAAATATTTAATCAGGCCTACTCCAAGCTACTAGGGAGTCTAAAGCAGGAAGATTGCATGTTCAAGGCCAGCCTGGGCAGCTTGAAAATATAATAGCTTGGAAAAGGTGGGGATCCTGAGGCTGTAATTTAGTGGTAGACCACTTATCTAGCATATGTGGGGATCTGGTTTCAATCCCCAGTACTGACTGATCATTAGGGTTAGAAAACTCTTTATTTTATTACCATATCCTTAAGTTTGATTTATGGCTGAAGGCAAGTTAGTGGCACAGTTGCCTTTCTTGAACTGCAAATTAAAGATTAAACAAGCTCTGGAAAGATACTGTGTAAATAGTGTGTGGTCTTGGACACTTGTAATCCGGCACCGGAGTGTCAGGGGCAAGAGGATCCTGAGTTGTCAGTCAGTATGGACTGCTGCATAGCAAGACTCTTGTCTCAGGGAGAGTGAGGAGGGAGAGGATGACAGGTTTTGATTGACTTGTTTGTGCTGTGCAGTTTAAATGCCTCTGTTGGTTTATCAGTCAGACTTCTCTCTTTATTGAGCCAGACACATATATGCAACATCAGGCGCTAGCCTTTCATTGTGTATGGTAGAACCTTTCCTTAATAATCTTAGGTTAAAAAAACAGATGTAGTCACACATACCTTGACAGGAAATTGATGTTGCTAAATTCTGCCATCCAAAAGTAGTACTTCATTGACTTGATAAACCACAGAATTGGTTGTGGTATGTGTTTGGTATGTGCCTTTGACTATTTTACTGTTGAGTTAAACACTTACTGTGAAGCTTTTATGTGTATGTGTTAATCATACATTTAAGTTTTCTTGATTTTGTGTGATAGGAAGTTGAAAGGCTTCTTTATTTCTCTGCTAACCTAGAAATCCTGGTGATTGTGCTGCCCTGCTGGTAGGCCTGGCTTTCATTCTGTGGGAATATCACACTTGTCAGTGTAATAGAGAAACTAATGCACAAATGTCTTATATGACATTGTATTTAAAAATGCATGCGTGCTGTTTGAGAGCACAGAGAATTATGTCCGCTGAGCAGTGTACTCCCTGCCTGTTACAGCATGATGCTCTGATGCCTGAGAGCTCAGCTGCCTCAGTCGGTCTTCAAATGAACCTTTGTTGTCGCTTTAGCCAAAATGCAAATGTTTTAGTCACCCTTAGCCTTCTGAGAGAAGAAAGTCCAAATGAACTGTAGTAGAGACAAATTCTACTTAATGTAGTCAGCAGAAATAACCTTTGACTGGACGTTGAGTTTGTGGTCACTTTAGGCTTGAACAGTGTGTATTTCAACAAAAACAAAACCTCTGAGAAAATCATCCCTATTTCCATTTTAAATGGTGTTTATTAGGTCATGTTTTTTGTTTTGGGTCCTAATTTGCATATCTCCAAATTTCCGATACAGTTTCTGAATTAATATCCAAAGACCTCTGGAGGACTGGTGCCTATCTTGATGTGCTTAGACATACAGATTTTAAAAACTCCTGGATTTGTTCTTTGAGCTTAAGTCTAGTTGTGTCACTTGATAACACTGAAGTATCACAAAGGCAGCCTGTTATGCTAATGCTGAATTTACACAAGTATTCAGTGTGGGCAGCAGGGGTGCAGTGCAGAAGAATGAACCGGTAGTGTAGACAGTGTAGATGAGTGTAGCGGGTCAGGAACGGGACCACTCACTGCTGCTGCCAAGGACCGGTTGCATTTGCTGTGCTTCTGCAGGGTGGACACTTAGGTTTTTTTGTTCTGATATTACCACAAACAGGGAGAGATGCATTGAGCTGCTGGTTACCATGTCACTAGGCAGTAGGAATTCTCAGTTCTGTGGGTTCAGAGCATTATGGAGCCCATAATTGTAAACACTGTTTGCCCTAACTTCTCCCATCTGTGCCTTCTCCCTTTAAAAAGCGAAAAATCACACAGACTGGATAAGCACATACACCAAGGTTGAAGCCGAGGGCTTTGTACGTGCTAAGTAAGTGCTCCACCACTGAAAACTCAATTTTCTTATAATATGCTTTTAAAACAACTTTATTCCTTTCCGTCTTCATTCTTTAAAAGGAATCACTGGCTACAGATTTGTTTATTAACCTGCCCTAGATTTGCCTCCATCTTGCAAACCTCAGGACTATGAGAATAATAATTAGTATTTCTAGTCCAAAGGGCAATTTCTAGCTCTAGAAAGTCAATTCTAATCTGGAAGAAATAAGGGAATACTGAATTGGATCTTGTTTTGAATTATATTGTATATAAAGAAATGTAAACAATAAAAGAACTTATTAAATCATAACATTGTAGGTAATTGAAGTAACAGTGAAAGTTAGACTATTAAATGCTCACTGGCTACCCGAAGGGTTAGTTTAGGCATCACTGGACTGCTTGTTTTCAGGGTAGGAGCACTCTGGCTTCCGTCCTCAGTGACCTTTTTTTTTTCTTTAAATGTGTGTGTGTGTAGGGGAGGGGGGTGGCTGTTTCAAGACAGGGTCTCACTCTGTAGCTCTGGCTATGTTGGAATTCACTATGGAGACCTGCCTGGCCTCACACAAAGAGTGGACTGCCTCTGACTCCCGAGTGCTGGGTTAAAGGTGTACAACACTATGCCCAGCTGTCAATGACCAGTCTTGACCCTATCTTGGAGTAGGAGAAACATAGTGAGAAGCTGGCCAGCTCTCAACGTCCTTGTATGGTAACTAAGAGCAAAACAATGGTTACAACAGCTTCTGCTCAAGGACAGGATCATAAAATACTACCTACTCTCAAATTTATTTCTTGGATTGGAGATACAGCTCAGTGTAGCATGCTTGCCTGGCATGTTTGTGCCCTGGGTCAGAAGGATGGCGTCAGATGAAACTCTGTACTATGAATGGGCAGCTAAAATTGTAGGATAAAAGAAATTTGAAGTCTACAAAGTATTGTTAGAAGAAGAAAGTAAAAACAAATCAGTAGAGGTGGAGACAGAAGTCAGTTTTTAGAGTTCTTGGCTACTGTGCAGGAAGCCGTGGGTCCTTCTGTCCCCTGCTCCACATAAAACTAGGTGTGATAGTTTATGTCTTTAATCCTTGAAAGATGGAGAAGACAGAAGAGTCAGGACATGAGAGTCATTCTGTCTTTAGCTATATAATGAGTTTGAAGTCAGCCTGGAGTACATGAGATCCTGTCTCATAAAAAGAAAGACAAAGGCATGGTTAGCGTAAGGACCAGGACAGTGGCAGTGTGCTGTCACTTAGTTCATGAAGTGCTCTGAGAGATGGTTGTCTGGCCACGTCTTCTCTGGGCAGCATGTGTTGCATGTTTGCCTTGAAACTAGTGATACAACTTCTGGGACACACATAGCCTGTCCTTAACTAAAGTGTCAACAAGACAAATGACAAATGTATGTAGAGTAATGTATGTATGTATGTATCTATGTATGTAGAGTAACGGTGTCACTAGAGGTTAGGAATGGCTTTCCTGTGAAGCACTGTGTCAGTTTGAGATTTTTGCTCTTCTCAATAGTATGAGCATCAAGTAACAAAATATCTGCTGCAAAAGAGGAGTCTGAGAAAACAACAGAGCTTACATTTGACAACTCTGCTTAAAATAATTTTCCTCAGTGTTCAGATGCTTGTTTTAAGAATATATACTCACCGGGCAGTGGTGGTGCATGCCTTTAATCCCAGCACTTGGGAAGCAGAGGCAGGTGGATTTCTGAGCTCGAGGCCAGCCTGGTCTACAGAGTGAGTTCCAGGACAGCCAGGACTACACAGAGAAACCCTGCCTCCAAAAAAAAAAAAACAAAACAAAAAGAATACATACTCAATTGAAAATGGTGATACATACCTGAACCCCAGCATTTGGAAGGCCAAGGCATGGAAGTCTCCGGTATGAGGCCATCCTGGGCTGTGTAGTAAGACCCTGTTTGGAAACATAAATGAATAAATACTTCCAAGGTAGAAGGAATCTTTTCTTATGTGCCCTTGCAATTGGGGGGGGGGTATGTATAAAAGACTGGTCATAGCATTATAGGTGCTCAGAATACAGATATATATGATCAGAAAGAATACATCAGAATTTTAGTATAGAGAAGTAGTATTTTGAACCTTCACAATATCCAGTATAAGATGGATAAAGTTAAACTCTAAGCAATTACATTAGTGACAGAGGTCTGGATTTAGTCACATGAAAAGTTACTTGCCTTATCTTTTGGGGTTTGTCTGGTTTTTAGACAAGGTCTCATGAGCCCAGGTTGAACTCACATTTACTATATAGCTAATGTCTTGATTGCTTGTCTGTTGCTGTGAAGAGACACCATGACCAGGGCAACTTATAAAAGAAAGCAATTAGTTACAGTTTCAGAGGGTGACTGGGCTCCATGACCAACATGGTAGGGAGCATGGCAGCAGGCAGGCAGGCAGCAGGCAGGCAGGCATGGCACTGGAGCGATCACTGAGAGCTTACATCTGATCCACAAGTTAGAGACAGAAAAAAGCTAACGTGAGTGGCCAGAGTCTTTTGAAACCTTGAAGCCCACCCCCAGTGACACCTTCAACAAGGCCACACCTTCTAATTGTTAGCAAACAGTTCCACAACTGATGGGTGAGCAGGCATTCAAACATGAATCTATGGGGGCCGTTCTCATTCAAACCACAGCCAAGAGTGAGCTGGCACTGCTTATCCACCTGCCTTGGTGTCCGTGTGCTGGTATCACAGCGGATGTTTCCATGCCTGTTCTATTTATTGTCTTTTAAATTTGGAATTTTGTCAAGACAGCATGGTATGTCTGGTAGCAAACCATGAGTTGATCATCTTTGTTTCTAGAACTTATCTTTAAATTTTTCTTCCCTGCAGATTGATAGACAGCAATTTGAAGAAACAGTTCGAACTCTAAATAACCTTTACGCAGAAGCGGAGAAGCTTGGAGGCCAGTCCTATCTTGAAGGCTGTTTGGCTTGTTTAACAGCATATACCATCTTCTTATGCATGGAAACTCATTATGAGAAGGTATGGCTACATTTGTGCTCAGAAAAATCTCTACATATCATGAAAGAAGATGAGTTCTTAGATATTGACAGTTGCTTTAAACTTTAGAAACATTTATAATAATAATAATTCAGATTTTGTTATTGCTCTTATGTTCAGAGCACATAGGAGTGGGTCCTGAGTGTTCTTGAAATAGCTCAAAATGTGCATGTTTGCTTGGGATGACAGGGTTCAGACTCGACGCGCAGTTAGTGTAAAAAACCTGTATGTTTCCTTATCTCCAGCTTTTTGAGAATCTTTCTACTTTTTTCCCAGAATTTCCATTTTCAGTCACATCCTCCAGCTTGAGTTCTTCTCTTTCCAGCTGCCTACCAGCTGTAGAGTTGCTGGTTGTCAACTTGAAATGTTGAGAATGCAAACTCCACATCTCCCCATCCTGTTCAGTAGCCCCATCTGGCTGTGGGACATGAAGAGGGAGCATAGCTGTAAAGGGCTGTGCTGTTTTCTGTTTTCCCCTTTGTCACTGTGTCTCTGCTGACATTCAGTGCTGTTCTAACGCATTTCTCCTTGTTCTTTGCTTTTCCAGCTCACTTTCCGCTGTCTTTAGAAAACACTGCCTTACTTCCCCGGCCATCCTAACTCACGACCTCCTTCTTTCCTCAGTTATGACTGGATCAGGCAAGATCCTCCTGAAGCTAATGTCAGGTTACCTTTCTAGCTCCATCTCCCACACCCGCCCTTCATGTGTGTCAACAGACAGACAGACAGACAGACAGACAGACAGGATTAGAAGTGTAGATCTTATCTGTATAGCAGGAGGCACTCAGATTTCACGCAGAGCACAGATATGGGCAACACTGGTTCTGAGTAGGCTTTGGGTGTGTGGAAAAGAGCCTAAGAGAGAGAATGGACACAAAAAGTCTGAGCTGACACTGCTCGGATTAGGAGCATGGCCGTTTGGGTGGAAGGAAGGGAACGCTGATAATGGAACCAGGATTCAGGGAGGAGCTGACTTTAAGGAGGAGGGGAAGTTGAATTCCCATAGATAAAAACATGGTCACCCAGCCACGCTCTTAAGGAAGCATGTTTCTGCCAATGATGGTAGAGGTGTGTCCTTTGGAGTGACAGTTGTAAGAGGGAATTAGTAATTGGGTACCAGACAAGTCAATCTGGCTACAGGATCTTGGATACATTCATTTCTTGGAGGTCTCTCAGCTATAAAGTAGATCTTAGAATTAATAGCCTCGTATATAGTAAATGTTTAATAAGCATTTTTTGAAGTAGATTTTTAAGATATTTTTATGCATTTATATATTGTATTGCACACATACAGGGCACTGTGGAGAACAGAGAACAAGGTACAGGCTTCTGCCTTCCACTGTGTTTGACTGAGACAGGTTCTCTTTTTGCTGTTCCCTGCTGCATCATCCCAGCTAGCTGGCACTCACGCTTCCTGTCTCCTGTACGGTGTGCTGGATTATAGATGCCTGTGCTTCTGTCTCCGGGGTCTATATGAGCTCTGGGGATCTGAACCCAGGTCACAAGGCTTGCACAGCAAACCATCTCCCCATCCTGAGTTCTCTAGTTCTTTATGAAAAAGCAGGATTGAATTGTTTAGACATCAGTGTTTTAAATATTAGGATTTCTTATTCTACGAAGAGTAAACCAGATAAACGTTTACACTTTATCATGTGGGCTAAATTTCTTGAAATTGTCAATAATCCTTTGAAAACTTGCTTGAACAATTATGCCCTTTGTTGCTCATATCATGCTATTTATTGATTTTTTTCAATGAAGATAAAGAGGACAGTGTTATTTCTCCATTGTTGCTATTAGAATTAGAGAACAATTGAGCTTGTAGGGGTTTTCTCACTGGCTGCTTTGTTTACCAGCTAGAATGCGGCCCTTCTCCTAGGCTGTAATTAGGACACTGGAGTATTTTCTGAGAATGCCAAGATCCTGTTCTTGACTCCGCCTTGCTCCTGCAGTCTTTCTCGCAGCCTGCTTTCAGAGTCACATTCCCAGGAAGAACAGTTGTCTGTTCTGGAAGTTTGATAATGTTTCATTCTGTACATATTACACTAGTTGAGGTTGTATTGGGTATTTGAAATAAAGTAATTTCATTAAATACTAATTTAAGCGTGAATAAAATGTCATCTTAAGGTCTTTTAGGACAGGAGTGTCAGGTGCAGTTTGGAATGGCTGTCCATATGAACTCTTACTGTTACTAGGAATGGACAGACCAGTAGCAACTTGTATTGCCTTCTCCAAAATAAGGATTTGGAATTGTCCTTTTAGAGAAGGAGGTAGTAAAGGGAGAGAGAGAACGAGAATGGCTCATTTGTTTCTGAACTAATAGCCAGATGCACATGAATGATTCTAAAATTTAAACAGAAACTTTGCCCAATAGAGTTATGGTCGAATCAAATAAAAGGAATGCTGTTTCCTTGCTAGTGACCTGTGTCCAAGGAGGAAAGCTGTTTTAAAGCAACCCATTCCTAAAACCATCCACGCACACATATCTGTGTCCCCTCCACTGTTACTGATCTGGGGCTGAGCGAGACATGCTCTTCAGTTTCCCATTCTGGTGACTGAGGTAAGGAAATTAGAAAGATGATTGAAAGTCCTGAGTGAGCCCGTTTATGGACTCCTTCCACTCGTTAATTTAGGGTTATTGATAAACTGTGAAGGTAATGCCTGAGGGGTTTGCTTCTAATGACCAGGCATAGTTCATATTCTTCAGAGCTGAAAATAAGACAGCGATACATTGTTTCTGGTGATTAGGTTTTAAAAATTGTCATTTTTAGAAATGGTGTTTTTAATTTACTGAAGAACCATGTAGATTGCTCTTTCAATATCTATTCACACCATTCTTAAAAAAGGAATAAACCTGAGATTATTTTACCTCCAAACACAGAGCATGACACATAAATATTTATTTATGTATTTCCATTCAATATGAAGACTATCGTAACTTGATAGAGCTTTATATTTTGAGATAGTTTACACTAAAATATCTCAGTTGTAACATCCCCCTCCATTGTTGCATTTCCTGGTCTATCTGTACTCTAGCCATTGCTCTTGGCGGCTGGTGCATCATCGGCACCCTTAGCGGATGCTCAACAAACAGCCTATGCTGCTTTGTTTGCACACATTGCTGTTCGTCTCTCTGTTGTGAGCAAGTTTGTACCCTCTTCATTTTCTCACAGGGAAAATCTAAGGAAGTACTGGGTGAGTTAAAAAAAATCATAGTCCTTTAGAATGAGGCTCCGATGACTTTGAACCTGAAGTTGAGCGTGTGACTCCGTGACTTTAGAGAAAGCCGCTAAGATACATTTGCTCACACTGTCGGAATTGCCCTTAGTAAAGCTGATGATTTGGCTGGTTCTCAGAGCTCCTTTGTGTCCTATCTGGGTTTTGTCTACGTTTGTTTTGACTTTTACAAGCTTAATACTAAATTTATAATTTGAAGTTCCTGTCTAGGAAGCAAGAGCTAACTACAGAGTATCAGTGTATGGAAACATAGAAGTGATTCAGGACATCTGTGATTAGAAACCGCACAGCCCTGACGCATGTCTGTGTGCTCTACAAGGAAAATGAGCCTCGCAGCCGAGTGACAGAGCTCCCTTTGGTTATAGGCCAAGTCATTACTTGAAATGGCTGAGAACACACAAAGGGAGAAAAGTAGGTCTTAAGCAGGAGACTGAGAGCGAGCCCCCGTTAGATAGAAGAGGCCTTATCTGGTGGCAGCTTAGGAGTAGTAGGAGGTAAACGTGTGTAAGTGTCTTAGTCCCTGTAACAGGACAGAGGTGAGGGGGAGGGGTGGCCTCTCATTGCATTTGTGTACACTTGCACTGTAACGGAGTCCAGCCCACTACACACTGTATCTTGTGTACAGCTGATAACAGTCAGATAACCCAGACGCTGTTTTTGCCTTATAAAAATCAATATGACTTTCATTGAAAGCCAACTCAGTATTTTGAGATCTAGCTAACACATCAGATGAAATCTGTTAAAAGCTGTGGTGTTTCCTTCTGGCAGGTCTTGAAGAAAGTCTCCAAGTACATTCAAGAACAGAATGAGAAGATATATGCTCCCCAAGGCCTCCTCCTAACAGACCCCATTGAGCGAGGACTCCGAGTTGTATCCTTTAGTCCAGATCAGAAGGTCTAAATGTTTCTACAAAGAAAGTCATGATGGTACCATTTGGCCTTGGCCAGAGAGCATTTAACTTCCACTCCTAGTTATGTGTGCCTTCAGAGTTTGCATGTGAGTTAGAGACCGTAGGCATCCCTTTGCTGACATGTTCTTCTGAACTTCGCATTGTTCAGGTTTCTGGATTGTTTAGTATTCTGGTCTTGTAAGTATGAAGCTTGTAAGAGTAATCTATCTCAGCTGCAGAAACTATGAACACGATGATGCCCCTTTGAAGTGTGTGGTGGGCGTGTCATCCAGATGAACTGCGGTCCACAGGTTCATCTGGCAGTTGACGTCTGTTACGGCTGCCAGTGCATCATCTCATCAGCTTTGGCATACTGTCCATAGAGGCAGGAGGCCTTGAGAAGTTACTAAGTGGATTTAGTAAATAAAATTGCAAACCCTGCATTTACTGATTAAGCGAAGTAATGACCAAGGGATCTTTAACCTAGTCACATAGTCCTGGGTCTGCGGTGATGATGTCAGCAGTTCACTTTACTCTAGCAGTAATTCTTCTAAGGGTCATGAACCCCCTTCTCAAAACATTTTCATATAATTGGGAACCATTTTTGAGTCCCTCAATCTCTATGATTTCTCAGTTGTAAATCTCCTTCAGTTACAAATACAAAGGCTGGAGAGACAGACGGCTCAGTGGTTTGGAGCACTGGCTGCTCTTGCAGACTCAGGTTCCATTCCCAGCACCCACATGACAGCTCACAGCTATAACTCCAACTCTAGGGCATCTGATGCCCTCCTCTGACCTCTGTGATGGATCCTGCACACTCTGTGTGCGTGTGTGTGTGTGTGTGTGTGTGTGTGTGTGTGTGTGCGCGCACGCGCGCGCTCTCTCTCTCTCGCACTCGCATCCATGCAGACAGAACATACACAAGTATGTAGAACAAGTGTTTTTAGAAGTAACTGCTCTCCTCATTGCAGCTAATGTATTAAACTTTCTGCCAAGCAGAAACAGTGCCTCTGCACACACCAGACGGTGCACATCAGCTTGCTGTAGTCTGTCTCCTCCGTGTGTTACATCCTAGTGTGTTTTCTTAACGGCCATGCTGTTTAGATTGAAATCACCATCTATGAAGACAGAGGTGTGAGCAGTGGAAGATAAACCACAGAATGAAAGGTGAGTATGAAATCCCATGGTTTATATATCTGTTAAATGTTAGTTATGCGTTACGTTCCCCCTGCCTGTAAATAACAGGTTAAGTCATGTAGGTATTCTATTGACTGTGTAAGCGTAAGCTAATCTCAGGGTCGCTTTGTATTTTAACTGTGTCTGTAGCTCAGATCTACGTGGTTCTGCACTTTCATTTCCCCTCTATGTTATCTTCAAGCTGGCGGTTACTTTGATACTTAGAGAGGAGTTTATTTGGCTTGTTTTAATATTTTAGATGTGTTTTAGCCTCTTAAATGTTGGGTATTGCATATATCTGAACCAGCCCAGAGACTTTTGTCTTTATGTCTTGTTTTTAAGGAAGCCCAGGTATATTTCAGGAGGGAGAATGGCTTCAGAGCCCTTGGAAGGAACTTTACCTGGAGGCTTCAACCTAAATTTCATTCCTTTGGTTAGAATGTTAATATTCTTGTATAGCCAGGTGATGCCCTTTAATAAATAAAAACAAATTAGTTGCCGGTAATAAAAACCTGCATTCAGATATTGTCAAGTCCATGCCTGTGTTTGTCCAGCTCTTAAAGGACAGAAATGGTACTTCCTGTTCCCATCTGTTTCAGTTACACATTCCGCTGCGCTTCACAGGTGCCTCTGTATAAAGCACACACGTCTTATAGGGCAACAAAACTAGCAGCCACCATTTCAGGGCTCCTCCTCTGCTGGGTGTTTTACTGACAGTGTTCATGAATCTCACACAGTCTCTACTTCACAGATGAGCAGACTGAGATACAGATAGACAGAGATCAAGGTCACACTGCTATCAAGTATTGGATGAGCTCGAGGCCCCTTGGATGCTGTACTTGACCTCAGTGATTGCAGCAGCAGAATATACAGAAAGGATAGATCCGTCCTGCCCTAGTATTAACCCCTTCCTTCTCTGTGGCTTTCTGAAGAACCCTTTCTGTCTCCTGTTCATTTATTGAGTCTATCAATATTTCAGCATTCCACACTGCAGTGTTTCAGCTCTAGTTCATGTGTCACCTACAGTTTTGAAGCCAGAGGTCTCAATAACGACTGCCATGTGTTTTATTTCCTTTACAACTTCATTTTGAACACATAGCATTAGTTGTCCATACATTTTCTCATGTACAATTTCCAAACTGATATTTCTCACATAAGCCTCTGGGAACTCTGGTTTCTGTCACAAGCCACTGGGATGAATTTATCATTTATAGCTGCAGTGACGGGACACAGCCGTTTGTCATGACTCGTTTTGTAGCTGCTTTGTGCTGCTTTAATGAGATGTTTTTCTGAGGTGGTGTAAAGTTGTGACCAATTATACCTCAGAGCCTAATGTATCACTATTAAGGTAACAGTGAAATTTTGAAATGAGAAAGCTTTGCTTCAGAACTTGTAGATAGTTTCATGAATGCAAATATTTTTTGTTGAATACAGTGTAGTTTTCAGAGTTTTATGTTGCTCACTTCCAAGATAATCATTCCCACTGTTGGGGATGATCATAAACTAGAGCTTACTCAGTTGGATCTTTGTTAAAAAGTCTCCAAGATGTCTGTAGGTTTGAGTATTATTAAAGGGGAATCGGCATGAAGCAGAGAGCATGGGGAGGCAGTTAGTAGAGCTTTACGAAAAAACCATGATGCCCTTTTCTAATTAGTAGCCATCTACGTGTTCTCTCTAAGATTGTCTCTGTTAAAGATGCAATAGGGGCTGGAGAGATGACTGGCTGCTCCTCCAGAGGGGGACATGGAGCGTCCCCACGGCTGGAGCCCTCTCCTGGCCTCCACGGGCATTGCATACAGGTGGTACACAGATACAGGCAGGCAAAAAGGTTAAAAAAAGAGAGATGAAATATAATTGCCATCACAGTAAATTAGTGGGTGATAAAAGTAGCTGACATTTGTTAGCACTTTTGTGACAGCACATTCTAAGTGATTAATCCTCACAAACCTACTACACAGTCAGGTATCAGCAGAGCTCACCACTTGTAAGACTTCTTAGAGGGTTGAGGTATTATTATTATTATTATTATTATTATTATAGCATTCCTTTCTAAAGTGTTTACTTTTCCATTCTTACAGATCCCACCTCCAGCTGGGACCTTCGTCTATCCACTGGCTGATGGCAGAGTGTCCCTACCTCCTCTCCAGAGCGTTATTCTCTTGTCTCTGCTGCCAGAGCCACGGTGCCACACCTGGAGTGACTGCTTGTCACTCAGCATCCACTTTGTGTCTCCCAATTGTGTAAGACTCTGTGATCTTTTGATTTGTTTCCAAGAAAATATAAGGAAGCAATTCACTTTTTAAAATTCAAAGCCATTTAAAAAGCAGGCAGTTGGTCAGCCCAAGACAAAGTTGTTTTCTTTCCTGACACCAGTCTCACTGGTTCTCCTCGTCCCTTGGGCCAGTTTCCTAGGTGGCTTTATGATTCCACAAGTCATGTCTTAGCTCAGTTCTTCCCCCAGATTAGTAACAGGCTTTGAGGCTGTGTATGCCTGTGGTCCGGCTGATCTGCTGCCCAGATTCCCCAAGCTACCAGCCTTGATGTGCTTCAGATCTTAAGATTGATTTCTGCTGTTCAATTTCAGAGGCTCCTTGAGAGAATAATATATGTTACTTGTTTTAGTATTGCACTTATTATTAAAACAGTATTTAATGCAATTCAGGTTGTTTCTTTGAAAGCATTTCTGTTAATGTGCATTACCTCAAAATGTTGGGGAGATACTGTGTGTGTTGCTTGTTCATTACACAGAGAAGTAAGCACAATAATCAGACACTCAGCCATCAGACGCGCCTGCCCCAGCTCCGCCCCAGTGTGTAAT